AGCAGCAGCAGTAGCAGTGGAAATCAGAACTTCTCTCTCTCTCTCTCTCTTGCAATAGAAAATGAAATGCCAAGCCTGGCTAAGGACATAATGAAAAAGCTATTATCAGCATGAGCTTTCATCAGCACTGCATTCAACCATGTTCAATACAAACTGATTCTCTCATCTCATGCTGTACCCATCTGAATGCCGGGGTATAATAAAGGAGGTAAGATAAGAGAGAGAGAGAGATCACTTTTTTTTTTCCCAGATGAAGAAGTGCATCAGCACATTTACAGACCAGACAAAGTTTTTATGAACGACACAAGGCCACATTCGCCATCGCAAAAGGCCAAAATGTTCAACCTCACATTGGAAGAATCAGATATAATCAAATCATTAGTACAGGCTGTGTATCTGCACTTTCTTTACCTCCGATATCTGTGTCCGTTCCTCTGTCGGCCTTTAAATTTTCCTGCTTTGTTGTGTCTAAATCTTGATATATTTATTCTCTCCGCAAGTCTCCATCCATCTGTGACCTCCAGCATGACTGTCTCTGAATTCAAATACAGCCACTTCATACAATATTAAATGAAATATTGAATTATATATATATATATATATATATATATATATATTTTATAGTACAATATTCAAACTATATCCAGCATATATTAAGGTCTAATGAGGAAGGGCTGAAGTCAGGCCTGTCAAGTATGCATCGAATTGGAAAAGATTCTGAGATATGACAGCTATAATGTGGCTAAAAGTTGCTTCGATATTTTGGAAATAGTCCTCTGGTAGAAAAATTGGAGGTTGGTATCATAAAATATACAGCTCTGCAGTGCAGTCAGTGCAATTCAAAAACTATTTTAGGTTTGGATTATATTCAGGTCAGTAATGTAATCTGGGAACACAATATTATTTTTGTAGGTTTTTTAGCTTCTTTCTTGCCCCGTCAGCCTTTATTGGGATGCTGAAGTGCTCACAGATTTCCAAACTTAAAAATAAGAGATCCAAGTTTTAATAAACCTGAATTATAATTTACGTTCACCTAGCAGTTACTGCTAGCTGTCCGCCATTAACTTCTGTCCGACTAACAAAGAAGATCTCTTTCCTCCATCTCTGCTAGATGGAACATGTTCACCATGCTAAATTGTAGGCGTTCAATCTTTGTACACACAATTGCCTCCTTTTGACAGTCATTCTCACTGCCACAGAATCATTCCTGCAGGGCAAATTTGCAGCACATAGGAAACTGAGAATGCTTTTTCTTCATTGAGCCCTGTACAAACATGAAAGCTTTGTGGTAGAAGAAAGGGATACTGGATGTTATACAATTTGAGGTGGAGGAGAGGATACTTGTTCTGCATCTCAATGTTGAATTTATATTTGAGGATTGTTATATTTTCCTATTTTCCTCCCTTTTTGGTGTCTGGGATATAATAATCTATTTGTGGTTTATTTAAGTTCACACTGTGTGTTATTTTCGATTTATTTGTTGTTACATTAGCTGTTTCGGTTGAGCTTATTTTATTTATTTGAACCCTCAAACTCAACTCACTTTTCATGTTTTTAAAGCATGTTTTGAAGCCCACTTAGCCTCTATGTGGCGTCTCATCTGTGTGACATAGCACGTATAATTTATGAAACAGAGCTGCAACTAACCATAACTGTCACAGTTGCTGATTATTTTCTTGATTTATCAATGAATAAATTCACTGTTTATTCTACAAAACATCAGAAAATAGTGGACAATTCCCATCACATCTTCAAAGAATTTCTAAATGAATCCTCACAATTGATAAACTAGAACAAGAGAATGTTTGGCATTTGTTCTTGAAAATGACTTGAAACGCTTTATCAGAATTCTTGCCGATTCATTTTTTGTCAGTTGACCAATTAACTGACTAATTGCTTCAGCTCTGGAATTAAATGCCTCCAACTGGCATTGACAAAGCTACTAAAAAAAAAATTGAAAAAATTGTTCTTTTCCTGCCATAATCCACACCATTTGACAAATTTAAGGACCCCTTGCCTTATTTTAAATAAAAGCTCTACAATCACATTTATTCTCTTCAAATCATAACAAACGTGGGAAGTGAAGAGGATCCAGGAGAAGACGACACTGATGATTTAGAGAAGATCTTGAATTGTGTGAAGTCTTCTCTAAATGAGCAACACATATCATAATTCAGTTCGAGTTGTTCTTCACGGCCTGCTGGACCAGATAATCCATCCACAATGGTGTACATGTTCACTGTGATGACTTAAAGCTGTGATACTCAATCTGCATTTGAGCCTTTAAAGGCAAGACTTTTCTGGAGCAGGAAAGGAACTGTTGACAGTAATACTGACAGCCCATATCTTTTTTAGTGTATGCGTGTGTGTGTGGGTGTGTGTGTGTGTGTGTGTGTGTGTGTGTCATTGTAAGTGTGCGAGTGTAGTTCACATTTTTGAGCCAGCCTTCACAGCTGCAGCTCCCCTCTGAGGCACACAAACACCCACACAGAAATAAAGATGCAAACACACTGAACTTCCTTCTACACAACAAACCCGAGCTTTCCTGTACACCTCCCAGAGGAAAGTGGGAGAATGTGTGTGTGTTTGTGCACTAAGGTTTAAGTGTGTTTTTTTTTTTCAAAACAAGGTTCTCTGAAAAACAAGAAACTAGATATTAAGATAAATACAATACAAGCAGTTTGGGTGGAAAATGAGCTTTCTTTAAGTGGGCTTGTTTAAGGACTGCAACTAATGATTATTTTCACTATCCATTTACTGACTGCTTTTTCAGTAATCGTTTAGTCTATAAATGTCCATTTAATTCTTCCACAGCCCAATATTTTATCATAATTTAGTCTGATCAGCAGCCAAACAACAAACTTCTAGCTTTTTCCAGAGCTTTCAACCACATCTCAAAGTCAAAGGTGGCTTTCATACTTCAGTGTAAACAAATCCTGGTTTTGTTTCTACAAAAACAGCATTTTTTTTAAAATCTAAAAATCATTGCTTAACTTCTGCATCTGGCCCTCACTTTATTCATTCCTTAGCCAGAGACAAACTCTTTTCTTAACAAGACATGGACACAATATCATGAAGCTCAATCTGAGACTAAGAAAAACTGTTCTCAAGACTGTTGGTGGTAACTGAGCTTTCAGTGTAGATATAGCAGGGTGTCATCTGCATAAAAGAAGTCAACTCATTATGTCCATGAATAATAAATTCAAATACACTGAATGTGGAGTAAAATGTGTTGTGTCATTCAGTACTAGTCAGTCTTTTCAAATATATAGACATAAATACCAGAGTTTCAAATCCATTATCAAAATAAATACTATTCCCGATACCTTACATTGAAAAAAAAAAGTCTATACAAAAGAAACCACAATTAAATCATTCAATCTAAAATTGTTTGAAATGAGGAACAATTTAATTTAAGAAGCAAGTAAATAAGATTACATATCTAAGCTTTCAGCACTCAGTGTTACAGGTCGGTACCAAAAAAGTAACCCTAACACCTAAACTGTGACTGAAAACAACATGAGTTCCTCTAGTTCAAAATACACCAGCCGAGTGGGGACCATTCAGTTAAATAGTTCACACTTAACGTAGGAAACAGCAGATATGATAACTTTAAATATACACTGTTAAATATTAACAACCAGTCACCCATTGTACAAAAGACAAACAGAAGCAGTTTCATAAATGCTTTATTATTACAGCTGAACCACTTCCTGTATCAGCTGTATTATCAGACTTGCCTTCCTGTATGCTTTTTATCACTCTGACAGCCTCCCATGTGTTCACATCATACACACTAAAAGGCTTCACACTAGAGAAATTATGTGTTTGTGTGTGTTATAAAGCCAAATAATTAGGTAACAACTCTGGAATACTATGTGTTGACACAGCAACTCCAGTGTAATGAACTGGTTTTATGAGAATTTTATATGACATAGCCTATAGAAAGAAAAGCAGAAAAAACCCAACAGTGTGCTAAATGCCCCATGAGGCTGTAATACTCATTACACAACAGAAAACTAACGAGAAAAAGTTTTTGGAGGGATGAAAAACAGAGAGACATCTTAGTTGTTTAAAGATATTAACCACTAGTAAGGCCCAACAACACATAAAAAAATCCAACAACACATAAAGTTTGGTCTCAGCATGGTGCCAGAAGAAGGGCCATTTTGTTACAAAAATCAAAAGGGTTAATCGTCTGTATACAGTGGCAATTTCATGTTGTTTAAGACACACAAACATTCCCTTAATCCCCAGACCAGGGACAGTACCAGGCCTCTGAAGATGTACTACTAAGAAACAATTTGTCAAAAGAGTCGAACAATAACTACATAACTTTTTATTCAGTAATAACCTTTAATTTGTCATAGTTTCGGTGTCTTCATTGCTGTCTAGCAACTACAAAACAACAGGTAATCAGTCCATTATCACCCACTTATAGTAGCGACTCGTATTCGTATTGTGGCAGCAAGCCAAGATTAGTAAAAAGCTGGAAGTTTAAGAGAGCTTAAAAGTTTGTTTGGAGGAGGGTAGTGGACGCAAAAGGTCTACAGACATTTGACTTGTATGATTAGCATGCTATATCAGTTACAATCTAGTACAGCTGAGACTGAAATCAACATGCTTACAGTCTGGTACAAAAACAGTTTCAGTCTCTGCAGCTAATTTCACCATTCAACAAGGGAGGGGTCTTTTTTTCTATAACACCCATTTTAATTATATCAAGGTTACAATTTATTCATATTTCAGGGCATGGCCGCTTCATTGGCCAACAGCTGTGTATTTGCTAATTTTCGGATTAGCTGGGAGCCGGCCAATATTAGCCAACATGAGCTTATCAGTGATACATTGCTATGGGAAGATATATTTGTACAGAAACAGCAGTACAGGATTGCCAAATATGTGTCTGAGGTCATTTAGAAGCAAAACATGTCAAAATTAAGATTAGAGAAGAGATATGAAAAAAGGGAGAGAGCCGAGTCGATTAAGTCTTTCCTTACCTGTTCAGTGTTCAGGCCTGTTGAACTGTAATGACACGAAGCGCTTCACTCTCCTCTCCTGCACAAAACAAAGAAGTTACATTTGTTATTTAGCAGTTCAGTCAATTTTGATTTCATGGTTGTTCATGCCAATTAAGGAATCCATTATACTTTATTCAAACTTGGCAAATTACTCTTTGTTCCCTTTTCGAACTGGACAAAGAACCTCAAAACAAGTCATATATACGCGTTCAGGGCTGACGTGAACAAGAACAGCAACAGTTTGAACATTAATAGCATCACTACTGGATGAAGTCCTCAGTGAACTATTTTTAGCTTAAATCAGAGTTTTATAAGAATCCCCCCCATGGAATTCTGTAAGTGTTTCATCAGCCTGAGCGGTCAATTAGAGTTAAAACATGTAAATTAACGAAATTAAAGCCATGAGGTACAAACTGCAATTTGAGGGAAGGTTAATTATGCAGAGAAACAGCTAAAAGCTGAAGAGATAGGAACAGCATGGAAGTCAACTTTAGAGGAGATCACGCCTACACATTATCTCGGCTAGTTGGGGGTAGAGGGGGTACTTGACAAAGTAGGACACATACACACACACGCACATAGATGCTAAATACACTTAATGGAAGCGACACTCAGCCTCCAACTTTTTCTATGACTCAGCCTAATCAGACTTTAGTGGTCCATGTTATCTGAACCAAACTAATCAACCACCTACACTACCAATCATCCATGAGTCAGAACACTTAACTCCACAGCCTGGCACAGTGAACAACCTCTGATTAACATAGTTTTAAATACTTCACAGTTACCATTGATTAAACGTCTTTCATGGTGGACATCCTGATCCAGGTTCTGCCCATGTAGGACCACTTTCCATCAAGCCTCATACAAAGGGACACTGCATTCAATTGCATCTTAAATTCAAAGGCAACAGCAGAGAGTGAAAAAGTTTCAGGAAGGACAGACTTGAGTTTGGCAAGATGCAGCTGATCTAAGATCGGATCTTGATCAGCGTATATAAAATGGATGTAGAGGAAACAGAGCTTCGAAATTTGATTTGGCTGGGCATGAATTAAAAAGAAAAGCACTCAAAAAGTAAATAGTCTTGTCAAGGCTGCGTAGCGCTCTAAATGCGTTATCTTTGTCACAGAGAAAAAGGATCCTGCACACTGAATAGAGGTAACCAAAACGACAATTTATTAAGTCAAATGATGTTGAGACATACTGTCTTCAGGTACAATTCGATTACTGACGGTTCATTTATAGATTGGCTCAACCTGGGTTGAATCAAGTGAAGCTGTATATGGACCTTGAAAATGACCAGATGCAAATGTAATAAAACGTCATAATTTTACTTAATAAATCTATTCCGTGTGCTGGAACCTTTTATGTCAATGCATTTGATATGTTGGGATGTATATAGGCTACACCACCCTATGAATCATGAATTATCTTTATTATAGAAAATGTTTGGAATCTGGATCCAGGTCAGCATCATTAGGTGGTGAAAAAGTTGGTTTCGAGCCCTGTACTGTAACTCTCACGCATCCTGCTGTAAATATGCCTGAATTATACATGACTTTTTGTTTTGTGTATCAGCCATCGGCAGCCTTTCTCTCGAAGTATTGGTATCAGCAACTGAAAAACCCGTACTGGTTGACCTCTAATTGGCTACATCACTTAAAAATGCATCATCCATGGCAAATGTAATGCATATGCGCAAATGTGTATGCCCCTGGAAATTGGTTGGTGGAGGTGGTCAGTGCCAGCCATATATACTGCATATAGACTGTTGAGTAAAGTATGTGTCCAGTTTGTGATTATCAAACTAACTTCAGCCTGTTTTTTCCGTACACATCCACATCTGCTCTTCTTCTATATTCTACCTTCCGAAACTTGTAGAAAGAAGGTTTTCTTTATGCCAACATTGTGATGTGTTGCTCTAATGAATAACCACAAAATAAAAAGTACAGCGTGATCGATCAATCCTCCACTGAGCTCAATCAGACAGATCCTAACTTACCATGTGATCAGTTAAGCTGCAAGATAACGGTTTAAACAACTCACTCATTTTTCCTGAAGCTATAAATCTGCATCTCCTTTAGCACTGTATGTAGATTGGTAGCGAAATTAAATTATTTTCTTTATGGATTAATTCACTGATTGTTGCCTCAATTAATCAATTTATCCCTTAAAATATCAGAAAATAGTGATATGCCTGACTGATGCCAATAACGTGACACTGAAGTCACCCTTTATTAAGGTTGCCAGTATTTACCAATAAATATGATATTCACAATCTCATCAAGACCACAACTTCAGCTAACTCCATGAACAGAATTTCACTTCATTCATTATTTGTTTGTATGTTTGTTTGTTAATCTCTATTCAGCTAGTTTTCCAGTGGAGGACATGTTGCTCCTCTTACAAAGTCGTGTGTCTTATTAAAAGGAAAGAAGGGACAGTTGGAAGGATTTTAACATGTTTACTCTTTAATTAACTGGATATTATGCATCCATCCAACCATCTGTCAATCGATCCTGCATCTTTCCAGCGGTAAATACAACCTTCTGTATCGCAGCACACAATGTCCTTGGGACTTAATAAACACTCTAGTATTCCAGAGCAGTGGTGGCTGTTTATGTTTCTATATCTCATTAGCGTGTGGATCACTGAAATTTCATTTGTAAAGTAACAGTGAGGATCTTTATACATTTTCATGCATTTCCCCAAAGAGTTCAAGGGACTCATATGGGAGAGATTTTTCATTTATTAAAATGAACAGAACAATTCAGTCACAAGGAGATAAAAACGGTGGCAGTCATTTCTTTCCTTAATTAAACAGTTTATAATGCAGGACAGGAGGACAGGAAAGGCTTTACTGTCCTGATTTCATGTAATTAACCATATACTTTGTGTCCTCCACTTCGCCAACACCTCTTCAGAAATGTTATGAAAGCTTTGTAAAGTTTACTGCCACCATTTTACTTCAAGTTTTTAACAATAGTTGCTATACTTACAAGTACGGACACTGATACATCGTTTTAGTGAAGTACTTGCTCAACCCTAATGAATACTAACAGAAATATTGGCACGAAAATGCCGTGTGCAAGATCAATGCAGCTGTAAAAGTCGTCTTACAGAAATAATACCCCTAAATCCGTTATACGATTAGCTATTCTGTTGACTGAAAATGGCATTGATGGCCTCAAGATATTTTCAGAATTTTAGAATCACAAATTATGACTTCTTTAAAGAGCAACTTAATGACAGTTGTAGATACAAACCCCCAGGAGGAGCACGGGGCTTTGAAGCCAATTTGACAGAGTGGCCGAACCGTGTAATTACAGCAATGGCGTCCATTACGTGATGCACACTGGCCCTAAAAGGACTTTTTCCCGTAAGGTTACATCATGAAAGAAGTGGCTGTAAAATGACATAATGACTCGTTTCAAATCAGAATTTGATCCATTCAGTCCGATAACTTTGTTAAAGTGTAGAAGATTTCGCAAGATTAAATCATTTATCCGCATTCAATTCAACGGAGGGCTAAACCGGGAATGTTAGCCGGCTCGTCCAGAAGAAGTCTGGGTATTTTCTTTGCAGGGGGAATTAGCTTTTTAGCCACTGAACAGCTTTTATAGGAACGCAAAGTATCACGTTCTCTTTATACAGCTATTCTTGCTGCTCCCCCTGGTGGTTGACTTGCTGCAGTGATGTAGAAGTGTACTCTGGGTGTGGCCAGTGCACTACGACATCACTGTTGGTGTGGTCAACCAGAAGAGGTCGGTGAAATGAACACTTTCCAGCTCGGTGTTAAGTTACTCTGTAAGGATGCTCTGGAACCGCTGGTATTCAGAAAAGCCCTGGTGGCTCGAAATCCAATAAAAGAAGGAGTTAACGCCTGCATTCTTGGAATTCCCCTCCCCTGTAATATCGACGCTGGTATCGAATGACTGTTGCTGAGAGAAGGAGGGAGAACAGAAGTATGAGAGTGTTAAGAAATGGAAGTGAGGTAAACATATACACCCAATAAGCTGAAGAACACCAGAGAGGAAACACACACACACACACCCTGGAAAAAGAAAACAGGAGGAGGATGAAGAGAAAGATTTAGGTTCAACATGTGCAAACTGAAAATACAGTAAACACACACACACACACACACACACCTCTGCTGTATGACAGATGGAGAACAAGCGTTGAATGCTGTGATGTGATTTGCAGGTTGATGTGTTTTTGCTGGCAGAGTATTTCATGATAGTTTATTACACTTTGAGTCTTTTTAAATCAAGGAACACACACACACACACACACACACACACACACACACACACACACACATACAGAGGGAGGAGAGGAGCCTTGTAAATCAGTTGTGCTGGCTGGTTCTTATCTGAGAAATGCCAGCTATGAGAGCAGGGCGGTACAGTGAGCTGAAGGCTGTGGAGCTGAGCTTTCTCTCCCTTTAATGACTCGCATGGAGCCGCTGCCTCATTGAACAGCGGGGGGGGGCTGCCAGGTTGAGGTAAGAACAGCATCATAATGTGCAAGTAATGATGAAACATTATGAAACAACACTGTATGCGTAACAAATGCTTCAACACGGATCATAGTCTGACATAACCAACTTGAGTCGCCACTAAACTGGTTGGACTGGTTATCTGTTGGCCGATTTAAGCCTGGTACTAAAAATAACTCCGGTGTTACTGTGTGGTCCAACACTGACATATTTACTGAAAACCTGAGCAATACTACACTTTCTATTAATTATTAGGCAACATTTTGATCTGATTCCACTCAAGGAGGCCCGATGAGTTGCCTTCCACTGCCAGCCTACAATTTTTGCTCCCCCCATTGAGGTTTGGCAAGACTCAGGATGAATTTAGCTGCAGATAGATGTCCTTTTCAAGTGAGCTGTACAATGGATGATGGAAAGTGGTTCACTAAAATGAATTAGCTTGAACTGTTTTGACACATATTTGGACGGATGTGTGGCTCGCAGAGCTGTCACTGGCCTCTGCTCAGTGCTCAAGTGGAAAATCATGGTCAAAATCT